GTTCCAATTTTTAGGAATCAGTGTCTGCTAAGCAGACAAGCAGACTTGCAGTGCCTGGTTATGGGCTCAGGAGTCTTTTACTTTATGCAATAATAAAGAATGTTTTCAAAGCCAAATAATCCATTTATTGAAAAGAAAAAAAATTATTTATTGAAAAGAAACAAGGAGGTGGAGTGGGGAACAGTACAATCACAGATTCGCGTATGTCATGTCTGGTGTGCTGTGCAGTGAGTGCTGAACTTCAGGACAGCTATACTGCACGGTGATGGGGGTTGAGTGGAGAGGGTAAGGGTCGTGGTTTTCAGGGCTGGGTGGTGAAGGCAGCGGGTGGCGTGAAGAACACGGAAGTTGAGGAAAGTGGGTTGCAGGTGACAGTGGGGCACAATGGAAAGAGTTTTGAGACAAGGGCTGTGGGGGGGGGGTGGCGTTTGCGTTACTGCTCCTCTTTCTGCATGGCTACCAGCTCCTGGATAGCATCTGCTTGGCGCTCTAGGATGCTTATGAGCCTATCAGTGTTTTGCTGCCGGTGCGCGGTGCTTTGTCGCCGGTGCGCTGCGTTTTCCTGGCCGATCCTGCTTTCTCTCTCTCCCTCCATTCCTGTGCTTTCTCATTCTCTTTAATAGATTGCCGCATCACTTCTTGCAGCATGTCTTCTTTGCTTTTTCGCAGTCTCTTCCTGAGTCTTTGCAGTCTCTGAGCAGGCGATAAGAGGGACGGCTAAGATCTCAAGGTTGATGCAGCTGTATAGGCAAAATGTAACATTTAACAGAGGCAGCATTGTTTATACCAGACAGAGTAATGATTCCCCCCGCACTTAAGGAGTAGAAAACACACAGGGTCTACACAATAGCATAATTTTCCCGTCCGAAACAGAGCACACATATCCTACGGGAGCCTCAAAATGATGAGTAAGGGGGACTGATTGTTTCAGGGCTGCACTGTCCTCTGGGTTTCTGTGCCTTGGGGAGAGCCAACAGCTTCAGGGGGCACCTACACTGAACATTGTCCCAACATTTTCCACAGGAGTTCGTCCTGGACGATATCTCGCTGCTGAGGGTGACCTGGGAAGCAAGGGAGGGTCTTCTACTGCAATGCGGCTTCCGCCCTGGCCCATATGCAGCTTGCCTGTGTGCAGCAATTGTCCCCCCTTCCCTCGTGGCACAGTGGCACGGACATGTTAGCCTGGCTGGGACAAGGACCATGGTGGCTCTCCCGATAAACCTGCGCAAGCGCATTGCACACGTTCTGGATGAGACATTCGAGGAGATTACCGAGGCCGATTATCGCGATGTGATAAACCACATCAATGCACTATTCCACATCTAGGCATGCATGTCTAACCCTCCTCTCCCAAAGAGCCCGGACTGAAAAATTCCTTCCCGAAAAAAAAAAAAACGCTTACCGGGAACCTGCTCTTCTGTTTGTCCTCCACCAAGTACTGGCCGCTGCGACTGGCTCCCTTCCTCCTGGCTCGAGAAGAGCTCCTGGCTGCATGGCTCCAGGGATTCCGGGGTGTCTCCATCTGGCCCACCACCATCACTCCCGTTTTCCTCCTCCTCCTCCTCTTCCTCCTCCACCCCCCTCCCCACCGGCT